CACCTCAGAGCATCCAACAGGTTAATAACATCTATTCGGTGCCTGGGCAATGCAAGTAAACCAGACTGACTACCAAACCTCAAAAACAAAGTGCAAGGAATGGGTTAAGTAATACCTCAATTCTTGTGCATGCAAAAAGTCTTTTTTTCCACACAGCTACTAATTTGTCATGTAAGAACAATACAAACTGGTATTTAGAAGCTGCTCCAATGCAGATGGTTACAGACTCAGACTACCAACACACTGTTGCTTCTAGTCCTTTTGGAAGAGGGGAAATGAGGCAGGGAAAGGCACTGGGTGCCCCTTCCAAAACAAGATTTCTCTGCCTAACGCTTCCTCCCTCTCTTAGGCTGGAAACACCTTTCTAGTTCAGGAATATGAATCAAGTAAAGCCCTTTGACTCACTTCCAGCACCATAGCAAAGGAAGCAGCCTTGTCTCACTCATCCACACACAAAGCAGAAGGCAAAACAAGAGGCAAACCCCATGCAGGAAGCACTTCCTATGGAAACAAGTAGATTATAAAAAGACATGGAAAGAATTGCCCTGCTAGTGCTGGACAAATCCATCACGCATGTACAGTGCACTCCCAAACACAGCAGAAATACCAGCCAGCAAGCTGTTTCTCCCTTATCTGTGTACTCTTTTATGGACACTGGAATATGCTGCACAGGGATACTGATAATGAGGCAGATGTTTCTACAGAGAGATGTTTCTGCAGGCCAAGCAGGCGTGATCAGAATGAGATTCCTGCCACAGAAACGTTATATTTCTGAAACTTGAAAGAGTAAGAATTGTGTAAAAAAAGGTTTCCTTCAAATTCTTGTCTGTGATGGGGTCAAAAGCTCAACCTTTATCCCAAAAGCTTGATCTTTATCCCCAAACCAAGAGCACCTCTAAACAAAACAGACCTTGCCTTCCAAGGAGCAAGGCTCACAAGTGGAAAACCACCACAGTTGATAGACCCCTTTCCTTTGACTCTATCCAACACCAACCCAGGGTGACCATTAGGGTAAATCCAGGAGTAAAAGTAACACAACATCCTGCCAATCCGAACTACAGCATCTAGACAAGCATATAAGAAGGATCCTAACCAGGCCCTGCTCACAACAAGCATGGCTGAAAGCAGCACAGTTCAGCTCTGGTTTTCATGTGCAGCCATCTCCCCTTCATATGGGCAAGCTCTGAGCTCCAGCAACACAACTCTCTTAACAAAAACCACATTTGGATAGCTGGGATTCCAGTAGTCATTTTAATGGTATGTGCTGTATTTCCCCTCCCTGAAATGCTGCCAGAGAGCCCCTGAGTGAATCTGTTACATCTGAATTGTACGCTCAGGAGCCAAAGACACGTACGAGTTAGCTGGGCAGGCGAGTCATGCATGTTTGTTAAACACATTTGCAGCTCCTGATGCGAGTTCAGACAGAGATGCACTTCCAATAAACAGGAAAAAAGCTCAAACAGCAAAGCACCATTCCAACCTGCGTTTGGCCAAAACATGCTTATATCTCCCCTGCAAGATGCTTCCCCCACCCTCTCACAGACACTTCAACATAAACAGGGACATTAGCGAAGCCAAGTGTTAAATCCCTCAGAGGACCCTTATCCTCCTTTGGCTGTGTCAGCAATGCTTAGTGTTGCAATCAGTATGAGCAGCATTATGGATTTTAAATCAAGTCTAATCAAAGATTCATTAACAGGCAATACATTAACGCAACATATAACTACACCAGCCACTCGGTGCCCTTTAGCTGCTCCATGACTCCTGAACAGGCTGTGAGCATCAGAAGGTCAGGGTATTTCCCCAGGGTTTAATGGTATAGGTCAAAAGAACAGAAAATGAGTAATTATATCAAGTAAAAGAACAGATGTAGCCAACTTCAACATACATGTTCAAGTCATGCCATGCATGTAAATCCACCCCTCTCATATGCGGTTTGAGTGCAGAACTTATATTAAAAGACAAAGAATGGCAGGCTGATCAGTTTAAAACTGAATTCCCCATTTTACCACCTCTGCGAGCAGCAAATACCAATACATCCTACACTGATCAGAGACACGTCTGTGGCTACACCAAGAGAGGGCAGTCTCAAAATCCTAGAAGCCTTTTGTGATATCAGCCCCATAACATTTCCATTGGGAAAAGCAGAATTCTTACTCCCATTTTGCAGATGTAGACGTGAGGCTAAAAGCATTTCACACTGACAGCCTTTTTTCCCAGTTAATGGAACTGGAGACAGCAGCAATCCCAGTTAGTGACCCATGCAAAACTACAGGAAGCCCAGAACAAACTCGCTGTACTTAGATGCCACAAGGTTACTCTTCCTGCTTATCAGAGATTACATCAACTCAGAGAAACATGGGTTTCATGTTGAACTTCCTTCAAAGACATATTCCTTCTACTCAAATGCTCCCATTGCTTTCCCAGATTATTCTGGGGGACAATATCAACAGTGGAAATGTATGGACCACAAAGTAATGCTACAGGAAGCTGGCAATCAGCATCTTGTGCTGCAAATAGTCTAATGATAATGTCTCTGTTCCCATTAAAGTCATCTATGATCAGATATTGAAAAGATGAAGAAAATAATAATAGAACAATAGGATAAACAGAACTCCATTGTCTGATTTAAAAACCCCCACCAACCCAAAACCAATGCATCTTTCTTCTAATGAAGTATCTTGTAATAGCAGCACCACCATAAACGGGGAAAGGGAAGCAAGAGGGACCTAAAGCGGCTAACAGCCGAAAGAGCAAATCTTCAAAGGCAAACTCAGCACAGCTCTCCCAGAAGCCCACATTTTCAACAGCATTCAAGGATTTTGGAAGACTTTGAAGCAGAATGATCCCACTTCTAAACTCCCCCTTGCAAACTCTAGATTTATCTTAAAAGGCTGCTTGGCAAAGATTTCTTTCCTTGTTCAGAGTAAGAAGGCAGAGAGCATCTTCTAACCACAAGTGTTGCGTTGCTTTGGGCTTTTTACATCTCTTTCCTCTATGAAGGTCTTAAGTCAATTTAAAATGCATTTATCAGCAGGTGCATAATTTATGCCTTGCTTGCATCATTTGCATTTGTCCTTCAAATTTAAGCAGATCAAAAGTGATGAAAATCTTTCTGGATTTCAAATTATGCAGTTGCATGATACCACAAACTGGCTTCAACCCAGTCAGATTTTCAGATGAAAAGCAAAGAGGAAACTTTCATGAAAGCACACTGCCAATGGTATTTCCACTTAGTTCCATCAAAGACTCTTTACAGTAAGTACTGCAGACAGATCTGCTGTAAACATTTAATGACATAGAGATAATGTGGAGAATGATTATATGATGATTTCTATCTGACACCTACTATTTCTTAGACTAAGTAAAGTAAGCAATGATGTAAGCTAATGTGGAAGCACCACTCTTGTTTATAGTGATACATCCAGGAGCCTTTTGGCCTTTAGAGCTCTGCATATGTCACCCATGCAATAGCTGCAAATCTCCCGGTTCTACAAACACTTGAGCACATGAATAATTCTAAACAAGCAGTAAAATCCCATTGTAAGTCCCATCATTGGGACTTATTTCATGAGTATGCATTTGCATTATTGTTACGACTATTCTATCTGCTTCATAATGTCTGTCCTCAGTTCAAGGTTATGACATGATTAATGAAATCCAGGCAACTACCCATAGCACCATCTTTCAATTTCAGTACCTCAGCATGAAATAAGGAGACTGAAAAGATATACATCATTTTTCTCAACAGATGTATATAAAGGGTCCTGAAGCCCATTTAATTGGTACTGCTGCAGACTAGCACACCAATTCCTAAAGTTCACTCATAACATTTAGATCAAGCTGGTGACACTGAACAGTTCTCACAGCTGAAATATAGTTTAATTTTGTATAACAAATGGCCCTGCATTCCCCAAAGTTTCATGATCATTTCCACAAATCTACATGCCACAAAGCACAGAACATGCAAACAAGAAGGGAGAAGAAAATAGCCACATGACAAGGCTGCTTTGTTTCCAAAAGGGTTCATAATCCTACATTCTGTTTGATGCACACAATGGATACTCCAGTATTTTATAACACACTACCAGGAACCATCCCAGGCTCCAGGCTTCCATCTCATGAAAACACACATACAAGGAGGTACAAGAAAAATCAACAGGAACATTGACATTTTGAAGATGCAGACAAATCTAGAGATGCACTGTTAGAGTATGTTCATCACTGCAATTTCAGCGTGTTTTGATGCAGCATTCCAAAACAGTGCAACGTTATCAAAATTACTCAGGATGCACAGTAGCATTTTATGCCCGTTTTCCTTTAGCAGCATATTCATGTTACACTCCTACTGGTTTTCTCTATTTTTTGTAGTTAATGAAAGAAAATCTAGACATACAAGTAGGCCAGCCTGTTTTGATTTGTTATTAGATCAGTAATGCTGAGCCTTCCGGAATAACTACCAAGTACCTGAAGCTCAAATCTGGGGCTTTAGAAACAATTCCTTCAGAACTTTCTATTGGATGTTTAAGTGTCTAAGAAAACCTCTTTTTCCAACTACAAAGTATTTTCCTTCAACTTTCCTTACTCAGAAAGTAAGGACAACAAAGGCAAAACTATAGCCGCCAAGGAGGAGATGCTGGCAGGTGACTATATGGCAGAGACCCCTTCTCCCCAGATAAACTCGCGCTGTCTGTAATCACAAGAACACAAACTCAGACCAGTGACTTGCATAAACAGAACTTGTCCAACTTTAGTTTCAAAGCCTAAAAATAGGGTTTGGCAGTGGGTGGTGGTGGTGGGGTGCTCTCCACATTCACTTCTTCCCTTCCTGTTCCAGCTGTTAGCTCAAGTCATACCTTTAGCAAAATCATCACTAGGCTCTTGCTGCCGAATTACCATCCAGGATGGCACAATTCAGGAAGGAACCTACTCAAACGCACTGTTCTGCTGCTCACAAAATCCAACACGTGCACAGGAAAATGCAAGGATGAATTCCATACCTCCAGCTCTGTCTCTCTGCGATTGATGTCATCTGTAGATTGATTCAGCTTTTCCAGCTCTCCCTAGAAAGAAAGAAAGAAAAGTCAAACATGTAGGAAGAAATCAGAGCGGGGAAAGTGGCTGAGAAGGCTCATTCAGCATCCCCACTGAATACTCACAAGGGCTGGGGCTTATAAACTCAGTGAAAAGAGGAAACCTTGCAACATTTACAATAACTTTGCCACTGCTCTTCTGCTTACCATTGGTTTGCTACTTACAAGCTAAATAATCAGAGAAGCTCCATATTATTATTTTAAGGCAGTACATTTCCTGTTCTGGCTTATGCTTTGCTATTTAAAACAAACAAAGGCTACCCTAAGTTCTGTCTTGTTAATCAATATGGTCAGTATCTGTTAGTTTCCAGTGAGATACACACCCCCCCAAAGGACTAGCATAAAGTTACTGCTATCACAGAAGATGTACAGTGAATTCACAGTACTGATAAGAAACCTGTCTTGCAGCACAAGAGGCATTTTACTCTGGATTTTGGCAAACCATTTCATAACACAACCAGTCAATGGGACATATGATGATGTTTACTTAGACTGCCTCCACGCCAAGGTTTTGATCTCTTAACAGCAAACCCAAAGTTGTTAAATCCCTCGAATAAATATTTACTAGAGGTGGTGTTGGCATGAATGGAGTTACTGGAAAAACAAAGCTCATTCTTAACGGCTTTCTTACCATAAAAAACAACCCTAAGGAGCAGGCTTCTTTGAGCAGCGTTACTCCATGGCAGATCCCACAGTTCCAACAGGAGCCTTCTCTAACTGCAACGGTGTTTTGTCATCAATCGGTGTAACAGAACCCACCTCAAATCACTCAGCCCTATAACCCAAACCCTGCGCACAGATTGCCACCACAGCAATTTCCCACGAGAGGACAAGAATGCCTGCTCACACTAAGGAATCAACTCTCATCCTCACAGGCCAGATTTCACTTCCAGCTCCTAGGATTGGGAAGCCACATCTTTGCGTTTGGCCTCCGAAACAGACGCTCATACAGAAATTACCCAATTCCCTTTACTGTAAGGCTAAGTAAGAACGCTACAGCTCTCATGGAGGCACACGCAGCAACCTGTTTTCCCAACCAAACCGAAAACTCCACCAAAAACACTCATGTGCAAATCAGGTACCTGGAAACATGCTGCAAGCTAAAGAACCTAAGGCCAAAATTAGATCAATAGGCAGTGCTGGAGCTCAGCTTCTCAGAACCAGGGCAGTAACAGGCTGGCTTTTGGCTAAGGGCCTTGCTCTGTGTGACCATGCCCTGTTAATTTTGCAATTGCTCTGCTTGGCTCTGGAGAAGAAACGCTCACGATGGAGAAAAGAACGACAATTACAGCAAGGAGGGCCCTATGCCAAGAACCCATCCTCTCAGCAACGTACACACGGGTTTATATTCCCTCTCGTGACAAATGGTCCCAGCAATCCTGGAGGGAAAAGCCATAAATCTGCAGAGACCTAAAAATACTTTTCATTTCAGGGACCACAGTAGGCTGAAGTTTGCACCAGGCAATTGGGCAAGACACGATTTGGGGGAGAAAAGCTTTGTTTAGGAGCCATGCCAGAATAAAAAGCATTTCAGAAGGCATTCAGAGAGAAGAAAAATCCGTTTTCCAACAGATCTTTCTTAAACAAAAAATAATAATAATTAAGAAATTAAACATAAAACACCACCAAAACCTTCGGGTACCCCCATTTCCAAGTCTCTGAGCATCGGCCCTGTTTCCCGAGCAAGGTCACGCTGTCATTATCAGCGATAAAAGAGGAGGAGGATTTCGGCAGGGGAAGAAGGAAGGACGCTCAACCGCGGCGCCCGGCCAAGGGCCGCGGGGTAACAAAGGACTGGGGAGCCCCGGGGCTGCTTCCCCCCGCACCCGGCGGGTATCCAGGCACTCTGCGCTGGCACTGGCATATGCATGTGTGTATATATGTACGTGTATACACACAGCTATAATAAAAGGTACCCATTATGGCAATTATTATCGACATTCCCCCCGTATTACAATAGCAGCTCGGGAGCCCTCACCTGGATGCGGGGATCCACCTCCTCCTCCTCGGGCCGCGGGCCTTCCTCGGCGGCGCGACCGCGCCTGCCCCCCGGCTCCATGGCTGCTGCTACCGGTGCGTCCCGATCCGCCGCTGCCGGCTCCGGCTCCGCGGCCGCTCCGGCACGGCCCGGCCCAGCCCCGCCTCCAAGGGGGTGGGAGAGAACCCGTTCTTCTCCCCCTTCCTCCCTCCTTCCCCCCAGCATCCCCCGCCCCGTTCTGCATTCCGAAAGGAGGAAATGAGCGCAGGGTTGCGGGGTTTCCTCCGTTTTTAACCGGCCTTCCCGTCCCCACGGCTCCCTCCAGCGCCCCGGTTTTTGTGTGTTCGATGCTTGTGCTTCGCTGTGCTCGGTACTGGCTCCCAGTGTGCGCATGCAAACCGGAATGAGTGGGCTCAGGTGTGGGGAAATGCCTGCGATACCTTGGGTGGCTTTTTGTTGATTAAGTAATTAATAATAATCATCTTCCCTCCTCCTTTCACCTGTTGCAGGTTGGGCTGGGGGCTGGCATGCTATGGAGAAGAAAAGGGGAGAGAAAGGGAGGAGGTAAGAATAATAAAGGCACTTTCAACAACCGTGAAAAGCGAAGTGAAACCCAGGTTTCCTTTGTGGCAAGCAGCTCTTGTATCTACTGGATGCAGCAGCAGGAGACACACTGAAGATGTGCCCTTTTCTTGTCAGTAAAAAGGGGCTTCTGGCCAGAAGCACTGATGCTGTGTACACACAGGGCCCCTGGCTAGCAGGATACTTCAGATTAGGGTCTTCTTCATCATGGGGACAGTGCCCAAATCAGTACCCAGACACTAACAGGGAAAGAGTGGGCAACCCTTCTGACTGGCAGTGCACAGCAGGAACGAGTTCCAGTGCTGCTTTGTCCCACTGGCCTCAGCCACAGCGAAAAGCCCCTCTGTGGGCCACAGGGAATAAATAGAACTGAGAACAATTGCTTTCTCTTCCCTTTTCACAGTAACACCGGAGAGAAACCAACAGCTCATCCCCTCATTATGGGAAAGGAAAGACATGATTCTTTGTCTTTGCCCTCCTCAAGACACAGAGAAGATGGTCTCACCATTGCGCATGGGCCAGGCTACCCATGTAGGAAAAACAAGGCAACAAGTGGCAACCGGCTCAGGCAAGGCCCTTCCTTAAATCACACCAACCACACTGATAACTGAACTGCTTCCTCACTCCCTCTGGGTGGACAACCACTCATTTCGTATGGATGAGGAATATAGCTCCACCTTAAAAGTCTCACTTTTGATTTAACACCATTTTTGTTGGAAAACTCCTCAAAAGATTACCAAGAAATCCAAGTAAAAGCTTAGATGTGGTAAAAAAGAGTCCTTTGTGAGACTGAAGAGAAAAAAAATCTCAGCAACACACACAAAGATAAAACCCCACGTTCCTAAGGTAAAAAAGGAGGAAAAAGCAGAGTCAAGCTCTTCTAAACACTGTAAAGCTACTAGTAAAAAACAAAAAAGGAAAAAGGGGAAAAAGGAAAAGATGGGAGGAAGAGTGGCACAAATAGTTAGAAATAGTGTAAACATGCAAAGTGCCACCAACAAACTAAAATAATCAAGGAGCAGAGGAGGTGTTGCCAAAACGCAGATGGGTTGTTTGCAACATCATTCCTCACAGCAAAATAAACCATGTAAAGGGGGAAAAACCCAAACCAAATCAGCCATAGCCAAGGGTTTGCTCTGCCTGCTGTTCATAAAGGGAACTCAGTGCGTACACACAGCCTGAGGTCTCCAGGGCCCCAGCATCCCTCATCCCCCGTGTGCTGTGGTGGTCAAATAACCGAGGTTATCATCATCCCAACGGCATGGGAAACACAAAGCAGCACCTGGAGGAGTTAATGCTGGCAATCCCACTGTCGATGCTTAACGTTTCTAGAAAACAAGGCTATGTAACCCAGCTACTGCAGCTATGCCATGACTCTCCAAGCCCGTGTGGTCTGACCCACAGCAGGATCATGTGAAGCACTGCCTGGGGTACAGAAATGCTGCCCCACAGACATGCTCTCCCCCCAGGGGATTTGTAATGTTCACATGAGGACCCTGTTCTCCCATTACCACCATGACAGTCCCGATGATTATCACAGCTCAATAAACCTCCAGCCAAATTCATCAATATGCTGCCATCAATGCGGAGCAAGCTATTTCTTCCCTCAGTCAAACAGTGGGATTTGCGTGTTGGGAGAGCTGCCTGCAGAGCTCAGTGCTATGCAAGAGATGGTACAAACACATGGGCCCCTTTCCCCATGACTCTGAAACATCACATTGAGCCCCAAGGCCACCAAGATCATTTCCTATCAAACCAATATATGGGAAAGATGTATATATAAAGAACTTGCTGAGGAATGCCCAGGTTATACATCCGTCATCACCGCAGACATCAGTAAGGCACAAACAGAAACATGGCCTTAAGGGAAAGATTTGACTGAAAAGGGAGAGGGAGACTATTCTGTACACATTAAGATCAATCAAAGAGAATATTATTTGCATGCCCAGTTTCTTCTCTTCCCCATGAATCAGTTTTAACTGAAATCGTTGTCACACGCAAAAGGAGTCAGAGCCCCAGGAGTGTCCAAGGAACAACCCCGTTCAGCACGTACATCAGCATCGTGCTTGAGTGCATCTCAGCAAGTTTTCCCCTGACACCAAGCTGCGTGGTGCAGTTGACACGTTGGAGGGAAGGGATGGGACCCAGAGGGACCTTAACACGCTTGTGAGATGGCCAATGCCAACCTCATGCAGTTCAATAAGGCCAAGTGTGAGGTGGTGCACCTGGGCCAGGGTGATCTCAAGCACAAATACAGGCTGGTTATAAACTGGATTGAGAACACCTGTGAGGAGGAGGACTTGGGAGTGTTGATTGATAAGAAGCTCAAAATGAGCCAGCAGTGTGCACTTGCAGCACAGAAACTCCCTGTGTGTTGGGCTGCATCAAAAGGAGGTGACCAGCAGGGCAAAGGAGGGGATCCTGCCCCTCTGGTCTGTTGAGAACCCCCCTGCAGTCCTGATCTAGCTCTGGGGCAGCAGCACAAGAGGGATGTGGAGCTGCTGGAGGGAGTTCGGAGGAGGCCATAGAGATGCTGTGAGGGCTGGAGCAGCTCTGCTCTGGAGCCAGGCTGGGAGAGCTGGGCTGGGTCAGGCTGGAGAAGAGAAGGCTCCTGAAGGGGAGACCTGAGAGCAGCTCCAGCGCCTAAAGGGGCTGCAGGAAACCTGGAGAGGGGCTTGGGACAAGGGCCTGTAGGGACAGGATGAGGGGAATGGCTTGAACCTGCCAGAGGGGAGACTGAGATTGGACAGCAGGAAGAAATACTTCACTATGGGGGTGCCCAGAGAAGCTGTGGCTGCCCCATCCCTGGCAGTGCTCAAGGCCAGGTTGGACACAGGGGCTTGGAGCAAGCTGCTCCAGTGGAAGGTATCCCTGCCCATAGCAGGGGTTGGAACTGGTGAGCTTTAAGGTCACTTCTAACCCAAACCAGTCTGGGATTCTGTGCTCTGCTTTGGTCAATACAGCGCAAGAAGTCAGCTGTGGATGATGACATTTCATCATTACTTCAGCCAAGCCATGAGTGATCTCATCCCAGTGAATCTCTCCTACATGATGTTAAAAGCCAGACACGTCCCCAGCCCCACCCCACTTGCACAAAGCCAGCCATACTGGCCATTTCATTTGAGGAAGTGCTAGCAATCAATTCTCTTTCTTACACTATTTTGTAAGATGCTATTGCCTTTTGAACTTGCATGCAAACGGTGTATACAGAGGCACATTAATGGAGCTTGAGCATCTATGGTACAAACAATTGTAGATTTCCCCACCTACAAGGAATGTGTTTAAAGAAAAAGCTACATCCCAAAATACCCTTTAATTTCACTTCTTTTTAACAAGCACCATTTAAGGATGATTAAAAATACCCTTTAGGCTTCCCAGGGCTACAGAGAAAGGAGGCTCATTTAAGGAGGTACAATCATAATCTTTCATAAAACCTAACTACAAATATTTAGCTCTTGGGATATAAATATATATATATCCCATGAGCTACTTTTCATATCATTGTGAAGCCTGCACTATACAGACAATTTATATACACACGCATATACTGTGCCATAAATAAAATGCACAGCTAACAACTTGATGGATTTCCCTGCTTGCTGTTGCTTACTGGGAAAGAACCATCACCATCACAGGACTTCTTTTTTCCTCCTCCAAACTGTCTTTTGGCAAGGGGGGTGGTGGGTGGGATTTCCCACTGGAAACCATCAGTGTCCACAGTTCACGTGTCTCCTTCTTTCTGTATGCAAATCTACAAGCCTTTGAAAGAGCCAAATAAAGAAAAAGTCTATCTCAGCTTTGTGGAAGTGAAATGTGCACAGCCTCTTTCCACCATCTCCTACCATTAACAGCATTTTCTGCCGTCTACTCGCTGCCTGGCAGAAGCATACAATTCAGTGCTTCCCATTACATAAAAATCGAGTGATTGAGCACATTGTGTGTAGGAGGGAAGTGGAGTCTGCTTTAGCACCCAACTTGATGTATCAGGATCAGAAGTAGTGATTATTTGTGTTCCCCCTCCTGCCTTCCTCCATGCCACAACCTGCAGGGGCATGCTGCTCCAGAGCCCCAGCCCTGCATCTCCAATGGGGTGCCCAACAGCAGCCCAGAGCATCAACAAGGCTGTGAAACTGGCCCCAGTCCAAAATCAGTCACAGAGGGCATGTTTTGAAGCCTTGCTGTGACAGCCCTGCTGCCAGCAGCAGCAGCAGACCAAGTGCCTCACATCTCCAAGAGCTGAATAAATGCTTATGGATTGCAATGCAGATTGCAGGCTCTCCCCCTCACCTCTGCTACCCACTCAACTACATCTTGGCTACTTCTCCCTTATCATCCAAGCTGAGCTTCTTTTTGTCCCACAGTGTTAATACCTTCCCCTTCTTTCTACCATCCCAAGTATCATTGAACCCATTGCTCTGTCTTCCTTGGCAGCAGGAAGACAGCATAGCAAAGCTGCCCACTGCTTGGGGAGCTTGGGAGGATTAGGGAATTATCCTTACAGCCTCTACAGCTTGACATTATGTCTGGAAAATACAGC